GGACAGAGCTAGGAGTGTAGCTACATAACATACATGTGTAGACACACATTTATATCAATTTTGATACTTACATGTATTAAAATTTGGGAGTTTATACTGATTCCTCCAGTTCCAGTCAGAACCACAGGGTTTATTCTAGCCTTCCCTCTTCCCGTATTTGTAATTCCATGAGACACCTGGCTTCTGTTCTGGCAGTTTGGCAAGTAGTACACTTTGGGACTGCCTCCCCCCACCCCTCTAGGTGCCCCAGACCACAGCTTTGCTTCACACATGGAACAACTCCCCCACCTTACTCCCCTACAGCTGAATGTGACATCTGGAAGCCCAATTCCAGTTAAGGGGAGTGGGGAAGGAGAAAAAGTAAGACTCATTAGGATGGGAAGGCGAGATTCCATGACAGTGATATGACTGGGACACAGATGGTGATGACTGGTGTTTCTTGTGCAAACCTGGAAAGAGTCTTTTTGAGTTTTTAGTTATACACCATATTAACTATGGGGTAGTGAGCATAATAAATAAAAGAAACAGTCTTTTCTAAAAGCATAATTGAGAATTAAAATAGAGTGGATTTATATTATTTCTTGGGAAATGCCTTGAAATTCACTTTTTGAACCCATAGAACCTTTGTGTGTGTGTCTCTGTGTTTTGTTTTCTTTCTCTGTTTCTAATAATTAAGTGAAGTACATTTTAATTGATTAGGTTTCTGAACATTAGATTCCATTTAACTGAAGCTTTGCGTAGACTTCTTAAATCTTGACATTTCCACTGACTTTGAAAATTATCCAAAGACATGGGGATCCCTGGGTGTCTCAGTGGTTAGCACCTGCCTTTGGCGCAGGGCATGATCCTGGAGTCCCGGGATTGAGTTCCACATCGGGCTTCCTGCATGGAGCCTGCTTCTCCCTCCCGCCTGTGTCTCTGCCACTCTTCTCTCCCCCCCACCTCCATGTCTCTTGTGAATAAATAAGTAAAATCTTTTAAAAAAAAAAAAAAAAAGAAAGAAAGAAAGAAAAAGAAAAGAAAAGAAAATTATCCAAAAACAAATTGGCCATCCTTTTGTATAACTCAGTTACAGTCAAAGATTTTTATAATCTTTAGGGACCTTTGAAATCATCTAGTACAACCAGCACAGATTATGGATGGGAAGACTGAGGAGGACTAGAAAGGCATTGGTTCTTATACTTTAGCATGTATAAAAGTCAACTAGAAGGCTTGATTTTTTTATACCCCACCCCCCACACACTGGTATCTGATTCAGTGGGTCTGAGATGAGGCCCAGTAATTTGCATTCCTAAGAAATTCCCAGGTACTACTGGTGTGGGGACCACACTTTTTAAAAGCCACCAGACTGAACTGTCTGAGCTTATACTTCTCGATAAAGGCAGAGTTGGGACTAGAACTCAAGATTCCTATGCCTTTTTTTCGTGTAGGAGTTTTTAGTATTTTTTGTGTAGAAGAGTAGTTGGCAAACAGTAGGCCACAGTTCCATTCTGGCCTGCTACTTTTTAAAAAATTATTTAGTAAATGTGATTTATTGATCTATAATTCACATCCGTAAAAGTCGCCCTTTTAAAGTATACAATTCCATAGTTTTTAGTATATTTACAAAGTTATGGAACCATCACTACTATGTTAATTCCAGAATATTTTCAAAATCCCAAAAGGAAATGGCATACCCTTTAGCAGATACTCCTCATTCCCTTCCCTGGCAACCACTAATCTCCTTTTAATTTCTATGGACTTGCGTGTTCTGGGTATTTCATATAAATAGAATCAGCATGTGACCTTTGTATCTAAATTCTTTCACATTGTATGTTTTTCAGGTCCACGAACCATTACTTAATTCCTTTTATTGCCAAATAATATTCCCTGGCAACCACTAATCTCCTTTTAATTTCTATGGACTTGCGTGTTCTGGGTATTTCATATAAATAGAATCAGCATGTGACCTTTGTATATAAATTCTTTCACATTGTATGTTTTTCAGTTCCACGAACCATTACTTAATTCCTTTTATTGCCAAATAATATTCCATGGAATTCCAAGGATTCCATGATCCCATGTTGTAATTAATCAGTTGATGCACATTTGAACTGTTGGCACTTTTTGGCTATTAGGAATAGTGCCACTCTGGACATCCATTTGTGAGATTTTACATGAACATAGGTTTTCAGTTCACTTGAATAATTACTGAGTCAGTGGTAACTGTTTAACCCTTTGAGGAACTCCTAGACTGTTTTCCCCAGTGGCCATACCATTTTATAGCTCCACCAACAGATGAAGGTTCTGATTTCTCTACATTCTCACCGATATTTATTACCTTTTTTTGGCTCTAGCTATCCTGGGTGTTAAGTGTTACCTCATTTTGGTTTTTAATTGCATTTTCTAATGACTAATGATGTTGATTATCTTTTCATGTACTTATTGGAGATTTATAGATCTTCATTAGAGAAAAATCTATTCAATACCTTTGCCCATTTTAAAAATTGGGTTATTTTTCTTTTTCTTTAAAGACTTTAAAAACATATTCTGAGGGGGCTGCTGCCTGGCTCAATTGGAAGAGCATGTGCTTCTTGATCTCCAGGTCGTGAGTTGGAGACCCACATTGAGTGCTACAGAGGTTACTAAAAAAATAAATAAATAAATAAATAAAAAATAAGTTTTAAAAATATACAAATAGACAGGCAGCCCCAGTGGCGCAGTGGTTTAGCGCCGCCTGCAGCCCAGGGTGTGATCCTGGAGACGCGGGATCGAGTCCTGCGTCGGGCTCCCTGCATGGAGCCTGCTTCTCTCTCTGCCTGTGTCTCTGCCTCTCTCTCTCTCTCTCTCTCTCTGAATAAATAAAAAAATAAATAAAAATATATAAATAATAAAAATATATTCTGGATACTAGAATCATCACATATGTGATTTTCAAATGCTATCTTCCATTCTGTGATTTATCTTTTTACTTTTTTTTAAGATTTTTAATTTATTTATTCATAGAGACAGAGAGCACTGATCTAATACTACCATCATTAGCCTATCTCTCATATCCTTTGAACATTCTGTAGAATGTAGAATTACCATGGGTTTAATGTCCTCATGACTGGACTCAGGCCATTCATTTCTTTTTAATTCTTTTGGTAATAGTTTAATTGGGATATAATTTGTATACCACATAATTCACCCACTGAATTCTGCAGTTCAGTCTTTGATATAATCACAAAGCTGTGGAACCATTTTTATCACTCTAAAAAAAAATCCTATACTCCTTGTTATCCCCAAATCCCCTTTATTTGCAACCCTAGGTAACCACTAATCTACTTTCTATTTCTATAGATTCACCTATCCTGAACATTTCATATAAATGGAATCATATAATAAATGGTCTTTCGTAATTGGCTTCCTTTACTTAACATAATGTTTTGTTTTGTTTTTAAGTTTTTTATTTATTTATTCATGAGAGAGGCAGAGACATAAGCAGAGGGAGAAGCAGGCTCTGTGCAGGGAGCCCAATGTGGGACTTGATCGGGGGACTCCAGGATCACGCCCTGAGCCAAAGGCAGACGCTCAACCGCTGAGCCACCCAGGCGTCCCCTTAACATAATGTTTTTAAAGTTCATCCATGTTGTAACATACTCAGTACTTCATTCCTTTTTATTGTTCATCATGTTCCTTTGAGTAGGATTGCTAGGTCATATGGTAGGTAACTCCATGTTACTAGCAGTGTTTGAAAAATCTGGTTTTGGGGCACCTGGGTGGCTCAGTGGCTGAGCGTCTGCCTTTGGCTTAAGTAGTGATCCTGGGGTCCAAGGATCAAGTCCCACATTGGGCTCCTAGCAGGGAGCCTACTCTTCCCTCTGCTTATGTCTCTTCCTCTCTCTCTATGTCTCTCATGAATAAACAAATAAAATCTTAAAAAGGAATAAAGAAAATTCTGGTTTCTCCCCATCCTCATTAATACTTGTTGTCTTTTTGATTATAGCCATCCTAGTGAGTGTGCAGTGTATCTCATTGTAGTTTTATTTGCATTCACATAATGACTAATAATGTTGAGCATCTTTTTCTGTCCGTGTTGGCCATTTGTGTATCTTTGGAGAAATGTTCATTCAGGTCCTTTACCTTTTTTTTTTTTTTAGGTTGTCTTTTGGTTTGTAGGTTTGAAGAGTTCTTTATATGCCATGGGTAGTAGACCCTTATTGAATGTAGTTTGCAGATAATTCTCCCATTCTGTAGTTTGTTTTTTTCCTTTCTTCATAGTGCCCTTTGAAGCATAATTTTTAATTTTGATGATTAAGTTTTTTCTTTTGTATTTGTGCTTTTGATACGTAAGAAACCATGCCCAAATCCAATGTCACAAGATTTTCATATATTTTCTTCTAGGTGTTTTATATTTTTATCTCTTACATTTAAGTCTTTGGTTCATTTTGAGTTAATTTTTGTGTATGGTGTGAGGTAAGAGTCCAGCCTCATCCTGTTACATGTGGATAATTGTTTATCCCAGCTACTTTGGTTGAAAAGATTATTCCTTCCCTATTGATTTTTTTTGAGGGGGCACTCTTTTCAGAACTATTTTAACTGTAAATTTGAGGGTTTATTTCTATATTCTCAAATCTGTTGATTTGTAGGTCTTTCCTTAATTTAGTACCACTCTTTCACTGTTGCTTAGTAGTAACTTTTGAAGTTGGGAAGTGTGAGTCCTTCAATCTTACTCTTTTTTTTAAGATTGTTTTGACTCTTCTGGGTCTCTTACATGTCCAGCTGAATTTTAGAATTGGCTTGTCAATTTCTGCAAAGCCAGCTGTGATTCTGATAGGTATTGCATTGGCTGGGTGTATCAGTTTGGGAGTACTGCCACTTTGAGAATATAAGTCTTAGGCATCTGGGTGGCTCAGTCAATTGAGCATCCAACTCTTGATTTCCGCTTAGGTCATGATCTCAGGGTCATGAGATGAGCCCCTTGTTGGGTTCCACACTTAGCAGGGAGTCTGCTTCAAGATTCTCTCCCTCTGCCACTCTCCGCACATGCACATGTGCACACGTGCTTCTCTCTAAAATAAATACATGTTTAAAAAGAATATTAGGTCTTCTGGTCCATGAACATGAGGTGTCCATTTCTATAAATCTTCTTTAATTTCTTTCAACATTTTTGTAGTTTTCATAACAAAGTCTCATGTATACGTATATATACACACAAGACACACACACGAACACATGCAAAGCACACACAGAACTCTAGAATAGTGCCTGATTCATAGCTAGTGTTATATAAATGTTAAAGTTATCTCTTGTTACTAATTTTCCTATATGTCTTTAACACTTTTGGGGAAGGTAGATTAAAATGGAGAAATAGTAATAGAAAAGCATTTTAACATTTATTTATTGATTTAATTTTTAAAAAGATTTGTGGATTTTAGAGAGTGTGCATGGCTACGTGCAAGTGGGAGAAGGGACAAAGAGAGAATTTTCAAACAGACTCTTGGCTGAGTACAGAGCCCATCACAGGGCTTGGTTCCCACAGCCCATGAGATCATGATCTGAGCCAAAACCAAGAATCTGATGCTTAACTGACTGAGCTACTCTGGTGCCACATTATTTATTTAATTTTAATTTATTTTTTAAATAAATTAGGCTCCATACCCAACCATAGGGCTTGAACTCATGACCCTGAGATTATAAGTCACATCCTCTACAGACTGAGCCAGCCAGGCACCCCTTAAGTTTTTACTTTATACACTTTTTTTTTAAGATTTTATTTATTTTTTCATGACAGATACACAGAGAGAGAGAGAGAGAGAGAGGCAGAGACACAGGCAGAGGGAGAAGCAGGCTCCATGCAGGGAGCCCAACCTGGGACTTGATCCTGGGTCTCCAGGATCATGCCCCAGGCTGAAGGTGGCGCTAAACCGCGGAGCCACCAGGGCTGCTCTACTTTATACTTTAATAGAAGTAACATGTAGGGGCATCTGGGTGGCTCATTTGGTTAAGCAGCTAACTCTTGATTTCTGCTGAGGTCATGATCTCAGGGTCATGGGATCGAGCCCCATGTTGGCTACTCGCTGGGCATGGAGCCTGATTCTTTCTCTCCCTCTGCCACTGCCCCCACTCCCCCCCAAAATGTTTAAAAAGTAAAAAATAATGTAAAATGTATCAGTTATAATGTTGAATGTAAACAAACAAATTGTATATATGTATAGTATCCCATTTTTGTAAATTCTGTTTCTTAAGTGAAATATGTGAAAAAAAATTGAAACAGGAACTACATCAAAAGATTAACTGCTTGTTTCTGGCTTGAGGGATTATGATTTTAAGCTTTTCTATTATTCCATTTTGAACATGTATATGTACATAATACACACAAGGAGTGAAAATTAAATAAAGTTATTTTTAGTGGTGCAGTAGTCATGTAGGGTTTTATTTATTTTTTAGCATGTAGAGTTTTAGATAACTGATTTATTCCTGAGGTAGCTTTTGTCATCATTATTATCTGTCTTACCTACTTTGTTAGGCACGTTGTGAGGTTATAAAGAGAGAAATATATCTATATTTTATAAATTGTAAAGCCCTGTGGAAATGTATGAAAGAAAACACAGTGTTCTGCAGAAATCAGGAGAGATATCTTTATTTGTAAAGCTTGCGTAGTAGCCTTTTGGTTGTTTCTGGGTTGATAGTGGTGTTTTAATAGTGTTGATGGTCCACACATTTAAGGTATTATAAGGAGTTAACATTTATCCTTGTAAGTTTTTTAAAGTTCCTATTCTGTTACTAATTTATTAGAATTTAAAATGGTATCTAATGGCATCATTCATATAATTTGTCTACCAGGCATGGATGGGCAGAAGCCTTTGTGGGTATCAGAAGTTCACATATCAAATACATCTGCCCACATGCGTAAGTATTTTAATCTTTACATTTGTGATTCAGAATATGGAGAGGAATAATTGTGATAGCTTTACTTTCTTGGAAAAGCATTTGATTATAATTTTTTAAAAGATTTTATTTATTATGCATGAGAGACAGAGAGAGAGACTCTCTGAGGCAGAGACAGAGGCAGAGGGAGAAGCAGGATCCATGCAGGGAGCCTGACATGGGACTTGATTCCAGGTCTCCAAGATCCCACCCTGGGCTGAAGGTGGCGCCAAACCGCTGAGCCACCGGGGCTGCCCTATGATTTGTTTTTATCTTTTTAAATATTCAGTTTGAAAGTAAAGTTTAGTAAATTCTTTAAAACTAAATTGGTAATTTAGCTACATAGAACTTTTTTTCTTTTTTGTTGGGAGATTTAAAATAATGCTTTCTTGGAGATCGTTTGAACTCAGAGCTAGAAAAATTCCTTAACATATACAAACACCTGAGAGCTAAGGTATCTGTGGGGTATCTCTGAAGGGGATTTATTTATTTGACAGGTTTGTGAGAGAGCTTTATTTACTATGTGGAAAATACTCCTAAATTTTATCAGATAAAGGCAATGTGATATACTGTGGAAAGAACACAGAGGTTTTGAAGTCTGATAGATTTGGTTTCAAATTCTGAAAAATGTTTTTGTATGTCAGAAACTATATAAAGTTTGAGCAAACTCAGAAAATTGTTGAGATTGGCAAGGGTTTAGGTCAAAAGGTTGCCAAGAAACAATAGCTGTGGAGAAGACAAATGGGATTAGATTCATGCTAGTAGGTAAGTAATTCATCCTCAGAAGTGGTAGTAGCAGAAGAGCTGATAAATGGGAAAAGAGAATGGAAAGAGGAAAAGTATCTGATTAGTAAGAAATATCCTGAAATAGAAGGTTTACCTGACTTCTGTAGGCTAATACTGTGGCTGAATACTATGGCAAGGATGGCTGTGTCCGCTATTATTCTGATTCAATTAAGAGGCAGAATTCTTGGTTATGTTAGAATTTTTGCTGTAATTGATCCCAGGATTCATTTGATTTAAGGCTATTTCCCAATCTAGGGAAGTTCATGTTCTCAAAGAATTGATAAGATTTTATAACCACTAAGCTAGACTTATTTCGTGAGTTAGGAGGATAGTGATTAGATGTAGTTCCAGTGTATTTATTTTTCTTTCCTTTTGGGCCTAGAGCTACATTCAGGTTATCCAGATTTTTCATCATTTGAGTTGGGTGTAGTGGACACTTAGGCAAGACTTATATTTCTCATACTTATTTAGACGTCTCTAATAACTAAGTATATAGATAAAACTTAGAAAATAAGCAAAAATGTAATCTGACCATTTGGTAAATTGCTGGTTTCCTTATACCCTTAGCCAGAGTCTCCAATTTTATACATTTCCAACTGTCTTGGGTACTTGTTTTCCTTGTCGTGTCTGGTTTGAAAGTTATTAAATAAGGGTGTTGGAGGGGATTTCTGGGTGGCCCAGCGGTTTAGCGCCTGCCTTCGGCCCAGGGCATGATCCTGGAGCCCCACATTGGGCTCCCTGCGTGGAGCCTCCTTCTTTCTCCCTCTGCCTGTGTCTCTGCCTCTCTCTCTCTCTCTCTCTCTCTCTCTCTCTCTCTCTCTGTCTCTCATGAATAAATAAAATCTTTAAAAATAAATAAATAAATAAGGGTGTTGGAAAAGAAAAATGTTTTTTATTTGCCAAACTTAGTCCTTTCCTGCTGTTGTACCATCTTCAGAACAGATCTAGAGGATATGTAGAAAAAATGACACAGGTGTGGATGTGGTGACACAGTTTATACATTAAAATTGTAGCATACAGTTTTGTGTAAGCCTCAAGTAATCACCTATCCTTAATTGATGGAATTTATCAGGTTTTATGCCTTGTTACATTACTCTGATTTTGCCTTTTTTTTTTCTTTGCCGTGTAGACCAGTTAGGCCTATAACAGTGAATATGAACATGGCTATGCCTTCTTGGTAAGTAAGAATTATTCAAAAAGAACTTTTTATTTATACTTATTTGATTTTTTAAAAAATTTTGGGTTTTTTGTCTTGTTTTTTACTGGAAGTGCTTTTGCATGTAGCAACTTTAATTAGCTATTTTTAGGTTGCAAAGTTATATAATTAACTTTAACTGTAAACTTTTAAGTTTAACCTTAAAGTTTTGTATTTTTTAAAGTTAGGGGTTGTTGGGAGCGGTCCTGCGGTGCGAGGCAAGGTTCCAGGTTGAGCAAAGGCTCCCTGCCATACCTAGCCAACCCGCTGGGACTGCACCTAGCTCTTCCCCCTTATGGAAGTAAATGTACATATTTGCTTCTCCTTTAAAATGTTATCGAGACAAGTTCCCATAAAGTAAGCAAGAAGGTGGCCTGACACATGACCGTCTTGGCAGACATTACTTAATAAACAAACCTCACTGTTTAGTCTAAATGTGGCCTTCATGCTCTATTGCTTAAACAAATAACAGGTGTCAGTTTTAAAAACAATGTATGTTTGTGCGTGAGATGTACTTCTCCTTAAAGAAATAAGCCGCCTGCTTACAGAGGCTATATAAACTCTACATGCAAAAATAAAGCTTGTCCATTGCAGCCATCAGCTGCATGGAACCTCCTATCCCATGAACTTTTAGTCTCTTGTTTCTTTCTCATCCCCTTGCCCTCGGTTCCTGAATCCGGACCTTCTCACGCCGGCCGTGACAAGGGGTAAACTTAAGGAGCTGCACCAGTAGGTACAGAAATAGGAGGAAATGGGTAAACACAAATATTGTAGAAAATATCTCCTACTGCTTGATAAACCTTTGCTGGTTTCAATGACCCAGCATTTGAATAACCCCCATCTAGCATACACTCTGATTAAGCAACAGTTTTTTACCCTTCCAACTTCTTGCCATTCTGGAAAGTTGACAAGTTTTATTTTATTTTATTTTATATTTTATTTTATTTATTTATTTTATTTTATTTTATTTTATTTTATTTTATTTTATTTTATTTTATTTTATTTTATTTTATTTTATTTTATTTTATTTTATTTCTTTATTTGTTTTTATTTTTAAGATTTTATTTTTTCGTGAGAGACCCACATAGAGAGAGAGAGAGAGAGAGAGAGAGAGAGAGAGAAAGAAAGAGACGGACAGAGACACAGGCAGAGGGAGAAGCAGGCTCCATGCTGGGAGCCCAACGTGGGACTCAATTCCAGGTCTCCAGGATCACGCCCCAGGCCAAAGGCGGTACCAAACCACTGAGCCACTGAGCCTGCCGGGCTGCCCAGTTGACAAATTTTAAAGGAAACCACTTCTTCTTCCACCCTCTCAAGATATTTTCACATTCCCTGTATGTTTTATAGTCAGGAAGTAGAGTCAGTTCTTCATTCCTCTAGGCTACTTCCAATCTATTGTCATCTTGTTTCTCTACTTATTCTCATCCTTTTCTTTTCTTTTCTTTTCTTTTTTTCTTTTCTTTTCTTTTCTTTTCTTTTCTTTTCTTTTCTTTCTTTTCTTTTCTTTTCTTTCTTTCTTTTCTTTTCTTTTCTTTTCTTTTCTTTTCTTTTCTTTTCTTTTCTTTTCTTTTCTTTTCTTTCTTTTCTTTTCTTTTCTTTCTTTTCTTTCTTCTTTTCTTTCTTTTTAACCAGTCAACTTTTTGGATATTAGTTGTGGATTAGGCAATGGAAGGATTCAAGGATGCCAGGCAAAAGTCACGGTCAGGAATGCCAAATGTGCTTCCACACTGGGCCCTCTTCAGTGGTACTTGCGTAGCTGTTCATGTTTGAGCTCCTTGTAAGAACGACAGTAGTTGAAAAGCACATAAGCGGCCAGCATCATAGAAATCCCAGCGGCGCCTCCTTTCTTCACATTGATATACTTGTAATGTTGGTAGTAACCACTTTGAAATGCTCCAGCAGTGCCCTTAGGGGTGAAATCCCGCATCAGCATCCAGCCTGGCAGCTCTCCTAGTTTCACCTTCATGAGCTTCTTTTCCTTCATTGGTATGGATGACGTCATCTTGGAGTCCTGGGGGTCTGCTCTCTCACCCATTTCTTACCCATGCCTCCACTTCCTTTTTATCTCTTCTGGATTCCTTGCCAACTTTCCCAAGTTCTTGCCTACTTTGGTCTTTAGTTCTTTCATCTTCCCTCTCTGGCAAAATCCCATCCATAACCAGAATTTCCAGCTAATGTTGCTAGCGACAATAATGAAAGAATATAACTTGGAAGAGAAGTGTATAGGGCCAGAGGAAAGCTTCCCTTGGGTCTTTAGTTGGAGGTATCTACGATGTGTGATGAAAAAGTTTTGCAGAATGTGGATAGAACTCAGTATAATACCTGTGCTCAATATGTGTGAGGTATTGAGAGTAATGTGGTAAAGTCGTTGTGTTCCTTTGGATTGACTTAGGATGCAACAGAAGGGGAAAGGGATGGCTGGAATTTATTGCAAACCTTTTATTTTATTTTTATTTATTTATTTTAAAAAAGATTTTATTTATTTATTCGTGAGAGACACAGGCAGAGGGAGAAGCAGGCTCCATGCAGGGAGCCCAATGTGGGACTCGAACCTGGGACTCCAGGATCATGCCCTGGGCCGAAGGCCACTCAGACCACTGAGCCACCCAGGGATCCCTATTGCAAACTTTTTAGAGAAGTATGCATTGAGAATTCCTGCTCAGCTGTAGATTGGACTAGGTATTTTCTTAGATGTTCTTACCCTGAGGTTATGTGGCATTGTGATTTTTTAACATTAGAATCTGTATCTGGTTGGTGAAAGGAACACATAAAATGTCAGATTCACACATTTAAGTTTTTCTTCTCTGTAGACATTTTAATTTGAGTTTCATGTTCATGGCTAGCCCTTTTTGTCCAGACTGCCCTGAGTTTAGTAAAACATACCATGATTGCATTTTTTTTTTTAAATATTCATTGTTTTTATTTTAATTTTTTATTTATTTATGATAGTCACAGAGAGAGAGAGAGAGAGAGAGGCAGAGACATAGGCAGAGGAAGAAGCAGCTCCATGCACCGGGAGCCCGATGTGGGATTCGATCCCGGGTCTCCAGGATCGCGCCCTGGGCCAAAGGCAGGCGCCAAACCGCTGCGCCACCCAGGGATCCCTGATTGCATTTTTTTATAATCAAATAGCTTTTAAGATTTTGCCTTATTTTCCAGGTTTGATATTTTTGGGCTTTCACCAGATTCACAGGAGGATGAACCTGGAATTAAACAGGCAGCAGAAAATGGTAAGTACAGAAACATTTTATAAAGACAAAAACATTCTTATTTAGTAGGTTCAGTGGTTTTATTGATGTTAATGAAATAAGATACAATTATATAAACTTAGAAGGTGATCTGATCACTCTCTAACTTTTTTGCCACTATGGCCACTTGGACTCCCTTAACTATAAATGAAGAGGTGATTGGGAAGACTGGCCTTTATTTTTTAAATTATACATTTTTTAAATTTTTATTTATTTATTTATGATAGTCACACACAGAGAGAGAGAGAGAGAGAGGGGCAGAGACACAGGCAGAGGGAGAAGCAGGCTCCATGCACCGGGAGCCCGACATGGGATTCGATCCCGGGTCTCCAGGATCGCGCCCTGGGCCAAAGGCAGGCGCCAAACCACTGCGCCACCCAGGGATCCCAAGACTGGCCTTTATTAAACTTCATCTCTGTTTTGCTTTGGTTTATATAGGGTAATGGAAAAAATAGCAATTTAATAGTTGTGGCCAGTTATCTTCACTAAGAAGACTTGAAATAAGGATGGGTATAGTGATATAATCCTATAGATTGTAATTTATGTTGGCTAATTTTAGTGTAATAATAATAATAGATGCCACTGATTGAATACTTCAGCTATTAAATCAGATAATTCTTGTAAGTCATCTCTTTTCTTTTCTAGTCATCTTTTCTATGGCATAAGTATTAGCTCTACTTTACAGAATCTCCAAAGTGTGTTCTCTGGTTAGTATTCCATGCTTCTTATGAACATGATAATTCCGTTTATTTTTAGGATGAATGCATGGAAGAATACTAGTTATTGGGAGAAATCTGGTTTTAGAAAATGTATAGAGGCATCCTTGTGTGTGGGGGTGGGGGGATGGACTTGAGAGTACTCTGGTGGGGGCACAACAGATATTGATGAAACAAGCCTGGCTATGAATTGATAATTGCAGAAGTGATGTGTACCTGGGAGTTATTGCATACTCTTTCTATTTTTATATTTGTTTGAAAATTTCCAAAATAGCTTAAAAACTAGTAGGGTCCTTCTAAAAAATCTTTTTAAAGATTTTATTTATTTATTAGAGAGAGAGAGAGTATGAGCAGGGTGAGAGGCAGAGGGAGAAGCAGATTCCCCGCTGAACAGGGAGCCCCATGCGAGGCTTCATCCCAGGCTTCCAGGATCATGACCTGAGCCGAAGGCAGCTGCTTAACTGACGAAACCACCCAGGCGCCCCTAAAGATCTTTTTAAAGACGAACTCTTAAAAACTTTAAAACAGGGAAGATACAATGTATTGGAGTTTGGGGACCATTAAAGCAAGAACACTGGCTTTTAGGATCATCAAAAAGTAGTTCAAGTCGAGAATCATAGAGCTAGGATTTTGTCAAACAATAATAGATGTCAAAAATAGGTATTGGATTTGGGAGTGAGTTATTGGACTGTGTGGAAGATAGAGAGGGGTGAGGCCTTGTAGAGAAGACTGTTAGGTCTGGTGAGCTCCATCGTAGTGATAGAGTTGGCCTGTGACATACTTGCTATTTCTTTCCTCTACAAGGTGATGATGTATTATTGGAGAAAGTGAGGCTCAGATTCAGAGAGCTAGGCAAGAATGGAGCCTCTGTTTGAGGCCTACAAGAGTATGCTCCTGAACAAAGAAGAGATTGCTCAGGTTAGGTCCAGGGAGCACAGTGGTGCCCTCACCCTTAAGCAAAAGGTGATTGAAATTAGAATGCCCTGCTCTACCGCTGAGGGCTGTCTTTAGTTATCTCAGTGGTTGGTGTCACCTTAATGAGTAAAGTTTTGTGAACTCAGGGGAAGTGGCTCCAATAGCTTGCCAGCTGGCCAGCAGCTAACATTCTCTAGGCCCTTACCTGAGCCTTCCCTCCTCACAACTGGGCCTTTACTGCCACTTCTTTTTATTTTTTTTCTTTAGGATTTTATTTGTTTGTTTATTTAAGAGAGTGAGCGAGCATGCAAGTGTGTGCACATGCGTGCACATAAGCAATGAGGAGGAACAGAGGGAGAGGGGCAAGTTGACTGCACTAAGTGCAGAACCTGACTTGGGGTTTGATCTCACAATTCTGAGACCATGACCTGAACCAAGAGTTGCCACCTAACTGACTAAGCCACTCAGGTGCCCCCTATTTCTGCCACTTCTGCAGCCTCCATCTGACTGAGGCTGTACAGTCTCCCCTAAATAAATCCCTCACATTTCTCATCACTTCTTTTATTTCTTAAATTCTTTTTTACTGTTCTCTAGGCCATTCTTCCCTACCATAGTCAGAACATTGCTGTTCATACCTATTCTAACTAAGAATTAAACTTTATATAAAAATAAAATTAATTTTTTATTTGGGCATTTGTTTTTGCAGTGTTTTAAAAAGCAGATTTTTAGTTTTTAAGAAACAGGAAATATGAAGTTGGAAGTTTAATCTTAAAAATGAAACAGGGCAACTGGGTGGCTCAGTGAGTTAAGCATTTGCCTTTGGCTCAGGTCACACTCCCAGGGTCCTGGAATTGAGTCCCACATCGGCCTCACTGCTCAGTGGGGAGACTGCTTCTCCCTCTCCCTCTGCTCCCCCCCCTATGCTCTCACTTGCTGTCTTTCTCTCTAAGGAATAAATTTAAAAATCTTTAAAAAATGAAACTCTTGAACATATCTAAAAATGGAAGGACATAATTTGTAAAAGGTGCAGTTATTAAAAAACACAGGACAGATTATAAAGAAAAAGGAAATTCTAGGAGTCACCAAGTTTTATAGTTAATGATTGTGTCAAAGTATTTTGCAGAAGCAGAAGAACTCATTTGATTTTGTTTTCCTGCATCATTTTACTGACTATAGGAAAAATTAGTACTATAGTTTTTAAAATAATAGAATGGACTTTTTAAACACTATAGATCACAAACCATGTAATCTATTTTATTTATATTTTAAAGTGGCAACTTTTAGATACAAATTTCTGTGATTCATTGAAGAGAGAAAAATATAAATGTAAATGAGTAGAATTGACCACATAAATAAAAGAATATCCATTGATAGGAGAAAGAACTGTTGTTCACAAATTACATAAGAAATAATTGAACAGTTTAAGCAACCCCTGCAAAATGAATTTTATAATGAAAATACATTCTAGTTTTGTATTTTAGTGTAGGGCGTTTTAAGTTTTTCACTTGTTTCAATGTTTAATATACTGTGTATTTTTTTGTAATTAATTTCACCCTATTTAAAGTGGTATGTTTAGACATAACTTTGAAAGTATTAGTGATTTAATTTTATGTTGTTTTTAGTAAAAGCTTTGATAGAGCAAGAGGTGAAGAATGGCATCCCTTCTAACAGAATTGTTTTGGGAGGATTTTCTCAGGTAAGGTAAAGTTTGGGTGATTTATCTAGGAGTCTGGGGATTCTGTCCCTTTCTGTGGAGGAGTTGTGTTTTTTGTTGTTGTTTTTTTTTTTAACAGTGTTACAGAATCTGATATACTATTATATTTACTATTTCTTTAATGCTGAATTAAGTTTGGACTGAATATAGTTAATTATGAGAACGTACTCTTTTGCTTTTCTAGTTCTCTTTCCAGCAATTGCCTTCAACTTCTAGATTATGTCTTGAAGATCTATTTATTAATAAGTAAATTGATTGGAACTGGGAATGTATTTTCTTAAAATAATTAGCACACATAGATATCTAAGTTGACACTGTATACCCCTATAAACAAAACTCTAATACACACAGTTATAACTCCCCTGTCCTAGGAAGAGACTACTGTTGGAACAATGAGGTAGAAAACAAGAGAATTTCTTCCTTCTTTTTGTCACAGATCCTGTGGTTGAACCCCATGGACTCCCCTGCAATCCTCTTGGGGCAAAATCCAAGTAGGGGCTCCCACAAAGTGACCCATGATGCCAAGGGTTGCTGATTGTTCCCCCTGGGTTCTCTTCTCCCACTGCAGGAACCAAAAGCTCTGGGGAGACTCTTTGGGTGGGGGTGGGGCCTCACTGGCTCGGGAGAGGGGCAATGTGACCAGTGTGTAGCTGCTTCTCTTACCTTTTAGTGTGGTCTGTTGTATCTCTGTGCAGAGGGATGCCTCAGTTCCCCCAGCCCCATCTGTATATTAGGATTCTCTCAGTGACGTTCTCTCAGTGATTACATGTTTGTTCTTGTAAGAGGGAGCAAAGTTAGGAATGACCTATGTCCCATTTGCTAATGTCACTCTATCATCTTTCCTTTTTTGTCTGTAAAATAGATTTTAGGGGTGTCTGGGTGGCTCAGTTGGTGGTTAATCATGAACCCAGGGTCCTGGGATCCAGCCTGGCATTGCAGTCTCTGCTCTACAGGAAGTCTGCTTGTCTGTCTCCCTCTGCCTGCTGCTCCCCCTGCTTGTGTGTATTCTCTCTCTCTCTCTTTGTGTCTCTGTCAAATAAATAAAATCTTTTAAAAATAATAGACTTTAGATTTAAATATATGATGTTTATTTTTGGCATCTTTCTTCTTTTTTCTGTAGTTTTTCTCCTACCTTCTATCCTTTTTCTGCAGACGTAATTACCTCGTATTGACCTTACATCTCTATTTCAGCTTATTGCATGTTTACTTTGTCACCTATCCCCAAATTTCTCAGCTTCCAATCTGTAAATCTTCTAAATCAGCAACTTCGTGTTCATACTACCTGAATTAGGACAATGTCAGAATTACGGAATTGTTTAAAAGTTAGGATTCAGTAGAAAGATGTGTTGTTGATACAATAAAAAGATATTACTGATTTGGTGTTTGTTAAAGTTCAGGATAAGGTCAGTTGTAATACATTTGTGACATAAATGTAGGTACAGAAATGAATGCTTGATCTGAAAAAGAAGCTAATGTAGGAGACTGTATAGTTAAAATTCATTGATTACAGTTTACAGAAGGGAATTCATAGCAAGCAAGAAAGAGAAAGTTATGAGTTCGTGGAATATCAGGAAAACCAAGGATGAGAATGAAGCAGGGCCTCAGGAAATAGCTAAGACTTAGAAAGCCGTCATGACTTTCTCTGCATCTCCTGTTTTTCTGCCCGTCTGCTTCTTTTGCCTCTTCATTTACAGTTGGCACTTTCCACCTTTGCAGCCTATAGCTTTTCCAGTTCTGAGTTTATGGGCTACTGTTCCAGCCATGCAGAGAGACAGACTGACAGTCACTATCCCAATTTCAAGATCTTAAGAAAAGGGACATAACTATCTTGGATGATGAGAAAGAATCTTAAGTTCCTATGGGGACCATAGGCATGGTCATGGTGACATGGCATCCAGATGACTAACGGGAATCCAGTTCCCAGAGCGCAGTGTATTGTAAGCTGGATAGGCAGATACTCTGAGGATGTCTACTACAGAGTTCTTCTTATCTTGAATTTTTGTTGTAGAAAAGACTACCAACTTAAGACTAAGTTTGATTTTATACCTAAGACTTTTCAGAGGAGAAACTAACTATAAATCGAGAATATTCCTAAGGCAGTTGTAAGTACATTTAAGTATACAATTAACTATTTCTTGACTGACTGGGTGGTTGCTATGTTCTCACAGTGGTCTTCAGTGTAGAGAATCATGTCCTAAAGGACATCTGTATTTCTGCTAGCTTGCTTGATTTGATTTGACATCAATCAGCCAGGTTGATTTTTTTTTTCTTTAATGGCCATTATTAGTAACAAGAAACCTGTTTAAGTTGCTGTTAGCAACTTGCTGCAATGTGTATTAACTTTTCTCTGTTTGTCTTTCCAGGGAGGAGCTTTATCTTTATACACTGCTCTTACCACACAGCAGAAACTGGCTGGTGTCACTGCACTAAGTTGCTGGCTTCCACTCCGGGCTTCATTTCCACAGGTAGCCAGACTGGTACTTGCAACATTAGATTACTGAACTAAAAGATCACAGATAATGTTGACGACAGGTTCATTTTTTTAAGTTAATAAACTATATATTTTTAAAGATTTATTAATATATTCATGAGAGACAGAGAGAGAGGCAGAGACACAGACACAGGGAGAAGCAGGCAACATGCAGGGAGCCTGACGCAGGACTTGATCCCAGGTCTCCAGGATCACGCCCTGGGCTGAAGGTGGCGCTAAACCACTGAGCCACTCAGGCTGCCCAATAAACTATATTTTTAAAGGAGTTCTAGGTTCACAGCAAAATTGAGCAGAAAGCACAGCAAGTTCCCATTTGTGCACAGGCTATGGATACCCCATAGCAGTGTGGTACATTTGTTATAATCAGTAAGCCTGCACTGACAAGTAATCATCACCCAAAGCCCGTAGTTCACATCAGTCATCCTTTTTTTTTTCTTTTTAAAGATGATTTATTTATTTATTTATGAGCGACACAGAGAAAGAGAGGCAGAGACATAGACAGAGGAAGAAGCAGGCTCCATGCAGAGAGCCTGATGTGGGACTCTATCCCGGGTCTCCAGGATCACGCCATGGGCCGAAGACGGCACTAAACTGCTGAGCACCCTGGGCTGCCCTCAGTCATCCTTTTTTAAAAAGAATTTTCTTGGACTTTCATGATGTACTACTAGGCTTTATCTGTTTACTACACTATCTTTATTGTGGATTCCCTAGAATGGAGTAAGAAATAAGTCCTTTTGTCATAAATCTTATATTTGAAGTAAATGCATCAAAAACAATTTTTTATATATAGAAATAATATGTTTGAATATTTAGTATTTTTATTGCCCTATAACAAAATTTTACCATAGAATAGAATTTCTAAGTACTCAATAGTGTAAAGCAATCTATAATACGCATGAGAGAAGTGGACATTTATTTTCAAATTCATCTTTATAGGATTTTTTTCCTCATCACTATATAGTAATTCTTTGGTGTCTTACACATACTAAGTGCTGTTTATTAACCATCTTATTTAAATCAATTAAATAAGAACTGAGAATATCATGATTTAGCTAAAATATACCTCTCATCTCAAGACACTTGTGAACATATAAAGAATAATATACAGTCTGCTTCAAGGAACCAATTCATTGGGAAAACAATAATACAAGACAGGGCAATCATATGCCCTATAAAAGTTAAAATATTTAGAGTTGTAGGGAGTATAGGGATAGAAGGAATTTTATTTTTGTGGCCGAATAGAACCTATGGTATAAATAATAACATATTGTATGTACATATCTATTTATAGTTGTAAATGCCTGGCATGATACTCTATAATTGGGTAAATAATACTAGTTTTCTTTTCTTTTTGCAGGGTCCTATCAGTGGTGTTAATAGAGATATTTCTATTCTTCAGTGCCATGGAGATTGCGATTTTGTAGTTCCCCTAACGTTTGCTTCTCTTACTGCCGAAAAGCTAAAAACATTAGTAAATCCAGCCAATGTAACCTTCAAAACCTATGAAAGCATGATGCACAGTTCATGTCAACAGGTAATTGTTTGGAACCAGTGATTACAGAGACATATTTGCACCTTTTCCATGTAATTTATTTAAGATAAGTGACATTTAATTGCTTTGGTGTTTAGAGGAGTTAATTAATGAGTTCACATTGAATCATAGGTTGCAGGACTTCGATCAGAGTTTATCCAATTTAATTCAATGAATATTCACTGTTCCTATTACATGCAACTTTTGAACATAATTCATAGACAAAAAACACTCCTTTTTATTAAAATTTAAGCTAAATAAAATAGGGGAGAAGAATATGTGTCCAAATAATTATGTAGAAAACAGAATGTGACGTGTTATATTAGAAGTTTTTAGGGGCACCTGGGTGGCCCAGTTAAGCATCTGCCTTCAGCTTGGATCAATGATCCCAGGGTCCTGAAATGGAGCCCTCTGTCAGGCTCCATGCTTGGCAGGGAGTCTATTTCTCCCTCTGCTTCTGTGTGTTCACTTGCTCTCTCTCTTAAATAAATAAATATTAAAAAAGAGAATAAGTGGGTAGCCTCGGTGGCTCAGCGGTTTAGTGCAGCCTTCTGCCCAGGGTGGGATCCTGGAGACCCCGGATCAGGTCCTGCGTCGGGCTCCCTGCATGGAGCCTGCTTCTCCCTCTGCCTGGGTCTCTGCCTCTCTCTCTCTCTCTCTCTCTCTCTCTCTCTCTCTCTCATGAATAAATAAAATCTTAAAAAAATAAAAGGGAGTAAGTGTTTAAAGTTCTTTAAAACACTGAGAAGAGTAAGATTAATTCTATCTTGGGAGTACTGAGATCATGAAGAAAAAGCTAGATTTGGAAGAATGGGTAGGATTTGGATAGCAAGTATATAGAGAAAGGACCGTAGGATAGGAAATATGAAAAGCTGGCTGTCCTAGAGCAGGATGCCATTCATAAGGTAGGTACAAGGAACAGTTTTAGGGTAAAAGGACGGAGATGATACTGAGTTTAGTGAACATACTGGGATTATGTACCCCCATGCAAAGTGGGAATTTGGAAATACTTGTTTGAAGCTCAAGCCTGTAATAGAGATTTAGACTAATTGCCAATATTGTTAATCACTGAGGAGTTACCATGGGAGAATATCATGAGAAAGAAGCTGAGGGATACACTTTGGGAGTAATTAGGAGGAGTTAGACATTGAATGAGAGTGCAAGAGGAGAGAATTTCAGAATCGTGGGCCACCTGGCTGGGTCAGTTGGAAGACCATGCGACTGTTGATCTTGGAGATGTGAGTTTGAGTCTCTACACATCAGGTGTAGAGATTACACACATACATACACAAACTTCTAAAAAAATTGGTTAGGTTATTTTAGGAAAAAGAATTTCAGGGTGGGAGGGAACAGTGTCAATAAGAGCGAAGGAGGCCTACATTGGTTTGGTGGCTTGAAAAGGCCTATAATAAAAATTTTCTCATTGCCAGCATTGAGGTAGTCCAGCTTAAAACTGTTTGCAACCACTCTGCCTGGCTGACTCATTTGCTTTAGGGATGGAGAAAAGAGGTAGTAATATGATTTATCCAGAAAGATAAGGAGACCTGGGATTCTAGGCTGTTATTGAGAACATAGTTGAAACTGTATTGAATCCAGAAAGCAGGTGGGCTGGCACTCTGAGTATTCAATTCAGCAGGGACTGAGGGTCTTGAGCATTGGTTTTCAAAATATGCTTTCCATCACAAATATCCTGGAGATTAGTAAACATTCAAACACCAGAACTCCAAACTCCACAATTCTGATTCAGCACGTTGGGTGTTAGCAGGTAGACTCAGGCATCTGTAATTGTATGGATGTGGGTTTTTTTTCTTTTCTTTTTTTTCAAGATTTTGTTAGAACACAGGTGGGGGGAGGGGCAGAGGGAGAGGGAGAAGCAGACTCCCACTGAGCAGGGAGCCCATTTTGGGGCTCAATCCCAGGACCCTGAGATCATGACCTGAGTTGAAGGCAGACACTTAACCAATTGGGCCACCCAGGCACCCTCATGGATGTGTTTTTAAATTAAAGCTCCATAGGGACACCTGGCTGGCTCAGTTGGTAGAACATGTGGCTTTTTAAGATTCTGTTTACCTAATCTCTACACTCAATTTGGGGCTGGAATTTAAAATGCCAAGATCAAGATTTGCATACTATTTGCACACTCCAAGCATGCAACTCAATTTCAGGGTTGTGTGGTCAAGCCCCATGTTGGATGTAGAGCTTACCTAAAAAGAAAAAAAAGCTGATGATTCTTTGTGCAATCATATTGGAGAACATTGGACTAAACAATTAGGAGCAGAAAGTGAAAAGAGGTAAAATGGTGTAGGTGTCACCACCAGGAAAGTTCTAGGACTTTAGAGTGTTGTAAAATAGAGCATTTCTGTGCTGTGGCTTTATTTTCTGACTGATTAAATTATAAGGGTGAAGGTTCTTTGTCTTGCTAATTTGTGGGTCTGTGAGGTTACTAGAGGCCATAGTAAGAAATTGAGGGGAATGAGAAAACTGAGCCATATGCAGGAGTCTCTAGAAATGTTTCTTTTGTAATACTTGATATATTTTTCATATCTTTCCAGGCCTATCATAGGTACTTGCTGTCTTTCAAATGGTTGTATGTAAATCCTTGAAAGGCACAAAATGTTTTATGCTATGGATTTAGCCTTTCGTTCTAATGAGGAAAGGTTAAAAGCTAGGTTTTTCCAACCATACTTAGTTGGCCATAATCGTATCCTTAGTGCTACTTCTCTGGATACTTCTAAGCCCCCTTTTCCCCACCCAACCCCTGTATTTTATTTTGTTCAAGTATACTAAAATGCTCAGACCATTTTCATGGGACTGCATAATAGTTGGGAGCTATCATTTGAATGTACAATAGTAATTCTAATCATAGGAAATGTTCTGAAATTCCTGTTGGAGTGTCATTTCTCTGTTAAAACTTTTCATTTAATTGAAGTAGTAAAAATGTGGTTTCATCATACCTAAGCACACCATCGATTTAGTTGGTATTTTAGTGGGGATTTAATTTCTGATTTTGTAACTGCTTATTAAATCACTTTATTCCAAACAGGAAATGATGGATATCAAGCATTTCATTGATAAACTTTTACCTCCAGTTGATTGATGTCACCAAGAGGCCTTGTGTAGAAGTGCACACCAGCATCGTTACAGTAGCGTATAAACCTTCTCCCGTGCCCAATCTTGAAACTTTTAATGTTTGCGGTGTTAAAATGTTTTGCAAATACCCACCGGTGACACAGAGTACATAGCATCTCCTTGTGGGAAATATGGTCTTTTAAGTTTCTATACATGTATTTGTATAATATGGTTCAGAATATACTAGTATTAAAATAAGTGAAGCATCTAAGCTTCTTTTTCCCAAATGTAATTCAGCAAAATAATAAAATATTATAACCAGATTTTTTATTACATCATTTGAAAATTATTAGTATGCTTAATGAAAATTTGTTAGGTATCAATGAACAGTAAGATATAAATGATTTATGCATGCTGTGACTTAGTCTTTGGACTTACTCCAAAATTACTTAGTCACCATGCATTATCTGTATTTTTATATATGTATTCGTTATATACTTAATGATTGTAATACATAATAAGGATGAGATGTTAACTACATTTTCCCAAACAATAGGGATAATGCTTCTAAGATCAGTAAAGAGTAATATTCCTCTCTTCAGTTAATGGCCCTTTTATTTTGGGGACCAGGCTTTACTTTCCCTGATGATTTCTGTTTAATATTTTTTTCCTCTCCAGAAATGTGTTTTTTTTTAATCTTTCATAACAGACCAGATATTGCCTCCTTGCCATAGACATCTGCTGCCAATACATGCTGTAATTTGATATTCTGAATCACAGATTTGATGGTATCTAAAGTGTAGTTACACTTATATAAAGAAACTTTTAAACTTCCTACACTACTTATTTCTTAAACTGCACCTTAATCCAAAGTTAGACCTATTTAGTTATTAGAATCTTTGATTTAGATAATGGGAATAATTCTGTGATTATTTTTTCTGTAATTAACTGAAAGAATAAGGTCATATTTCTAGTATGTTCTGGAATATTTAAGACAGATCTTAAAAACCAATTTCTAAGATGATTTGCTCTAAAATGATTGTCTTCGTAGCATAGTTTTAGTTTACTTGTACATGTGTTTGAAACCAACTACCATAGAAAATGAACAGTCTATTAGAAAAATTTGCTTTATTTTTATCTGCCAACGGACTTATTTGAAAACTTCACTTTAGTCAGATGGGTTTATTTTAATTTTTGTGCAAACATAAAAGTAGCAATTACTTGATTTTAGGTAGTTGAATTTTTCAGATTAATGGTAAAAATTACTGGAAAACAAATTTATGGGTGACGGAGATTAATCACAACTCAATACATATGATGTGGACTGTATAGAATGTTAATAATGAAGCCATATGTTTATGTCTGGATTTAAATGTTTTAAACATTTACTAAGTCATTTTGCTTTACCTTGAAGAATATAAATTGTTATTTTAGTTATACAAATCAGCAAAATCTAATTTATGGCAGGAAATATTCCGTTGAAATGTTGTGCTATAATATGGGAAAATGTAAATCTTTTTCATGATTTCTACCAATGTGGAATATACAAATCAGCAAAATCTAATTTATGGCAGGAAATATTCCGTTGAAATGTTGTGCTATAATATGGGAAAATGTAAATCTTTTTCATGATTTCTACCAATGTGGAATAAAATTTTAATTTTGACTTTTCTGTGATTGCTTTTTCAAGTACTATTTTTAATATTTGGGTTTGTCTTCAAATGACCGACTATACTGAAAAAGGGAAAATGGCAGTGCAATCATAAGAACATGCATTCAGGAGAGAGTTTTTGATGATGTTATGGTTGTCCTGGAATGTAACAAGGATGAGAAAAGCTTCTCTTGTTACTCAATTTTAATGAGCTAAAAAAAATATTCTTAAATTTGGTCCTCAGTGTTTCTGACCTGTTGGAGAAGTTTTGTTTAGTGTTTCCAAGTCGCCTCCTTTTGTGCAGTATTCGTGGGATCTTTAGTGTCATGAGTCAGTATCCAAATAGTTTCTTCTTTTTACTGTTGATGTCTAGCATTTCCCAATAAAGGAATCCTTTCTTTTCCCTCTCTTAAGCAGTCTTTCATTTTCTGCTTCTGGGTACTTAAAACTGAGTACTTAAAACTGAGTACCAGCTCATCTTTTTGTGAGGTAGCTTGTTCTATTTTTGGGTTGCCCTAATGGTAAGGGAGTTTTGTACCAAAATATTGCCTGCAACTTTTAGCCTTCACAGCAGCACCTTATTTCATATGATAATCTTTTATTTCATTATCCTTTTCAACTACTGTGTTCACAGATGTGTTCAGTGTGGCATTGTTAATCTCTATTGACAGCAGCAGTATCTTATGTATATATAAATAATTGGAAAATTTGTCTACTATTACAATCAGTGTTACTGCTATTTTTAGAAGTAGATATATGATGGGCGCCTGGCTGGCTTAGTAGCATGTGAGTGTTTATCTCAAGGCCATGAGTTCCAGGCCCATGTTGGGTATAGGATTTAATTTAAAAAAAAAAAAAAAAAGTAGAAATAACTCCTCTAACAACATACCATTTCTTTTTGTAAAAATTACTAAAAAAGTGAAAATGTAATTTAAGTAGTTGAGATGTTCTAGGCACTATCCTAAGCATTTTATATCCTTTATTAATATAACATAATCCTTACATCAACTTTATCTTTTTTTAAGATTTTATTTATTCATGAGAGACACAGACTGAGAGAGAGGCAGAAACATGGGCAAAGGGAGAAGCAGGCTTCCCTCAGGGAGCCCCAATGCGATCCTGGACCCCAGGATCACGACCTGAGCCAAAGGCAGGCACCCAACCACTGAGCCACCTAGGTGTCCCCAGATGAAATAATTTTATTATGTAGAAAATTCTAAAGAGTTAAAAAAAAAATCAGAGCTAATAAACTCAGCCAATTTGGAGGATACAAAATCAATAAACAAAAATATGTTGTATTTGTAAATTCTAGCAATGAAAAATTTGAAAAGGAAATTCCATTTTAAATAGCATTCAAAAGAATAAAATTTAGGAAAAAATTTAAGGTAAAGGATTTGTACAGTAAAAATATTGTGAAAAGACCTAATTTAGGAAAGACATTCCACTCTTTTAAAAGATTTATTTTTATTTTTAAGTAAACTCTACAATGGGGGGCCTGCATTCACAACCCCAAGATCAAAAGTTGCATGCTCCACCAACTGAGACAACCAGTGCCCCAAGACATTCCATTTTTATGAATTGGAAGACAATCTTATTAAAATGGCAATGGCAATCTTCACGATCTTGATTTGCCGATGATTTTCTAGATATGACAGTAAAATTACAAGCAACAAAAGAAAACATAAGTTGGACTTCAATAAAATTGAATAGGTTTGGATATCAAAGATCACTATCAAGAGAAACTACAGAATGGGAAATAAGATCTGCAAATCATACCTAATGAATTTAGTGTCCGGAAAATATTTAAAAATCCTCAAAAACAAAAGAACCTCATTAAAATCCGGGCAAAGAACTTGAATAGACATTTCTCCAGATATACAAATGGCCAATAAGCACATTAAAATATGCTTAGCACAGTTATTCATTAGGGGAGTGCAAATTAAAATCCACTTCATGGGGCACCTGGGTGGCTCTGTTGGTTGAGTGGCAGATTCTTGGCTTCTGCTCAGGTCTGATCTCAGGGTTGTGAGATGAGCCCCTCATTGGGTTCTGTGCTTATCATGGAATCTGAGATTCTGTCTTTCTCCCTCCCCTCTGCTCTTCCCTTTGCTCTTGTGCGTGTGCATGCGTGCTCTCCCTCTCTCTCAAATATATAAAATGTTTTTTAAAAATCCACTTTACACCCACGAGGATGGTTAGAATAAAAAATATGCATAAAAACAGGGGCACCTGGGTGGCTCAGTTGGTTAAGCATCTTCCTTCAGCTCTTGTTCGTCTTGGTCTCAGGGTCCTGGGATGGAGTCCCCTGCCTCTTTGGGCTCCCTGCTCAGTGGGGAGTCTGCTTCTCCCTACCTGCCTCCCCATCATCCCTGCTCATGCTCTCTCTCAAATGGATAAAGTCTTTTTAAAAATACGTATAACAAGTGAAAATATGTAAAAACAACTGTGGATATGGAGAATTGGAACCGTAAATACGTTTGTGGTGGGAATGTAAAATGGGCAGCTGCTATGTGAAAACAGGCCAATTTCTCAAAATTAAATAATTCCCCTAAGACCTAGCAACTCACTCCCAGTTACATACTGAAAAGAATGTACAGGTGTTTACAGAAAACCTTGTATTGTGTAATATTCATAGCAGCACTATTCACAAGAGTGAAAGTGTGGAACAGTGAAAGGTAACCTGTTGAAACCGTGTGCATATATATCAATTAATGAATACAAAATGTGATATAGCCATATAACGCGATATCATTCAGCCATAAAATGGAATGAAATAGTGATACATGCTACATCATAGATAATTCTTGAAAACACTATGCTAAGTGAAAGAAGCCTGTTACAAAAGGTCACATATTGTAGGATCCCACTTATATGAAAGGATCAGAATAGTCTGGTCCATAGAGCTAGAAAGCAGATTAGTGATTGCCAAGAGTTGGGGGATGGGGAATTAGGAGTGACTGCCTGAAGGGCACAGGGTACCTTTTTGAGGTGATGAAATGTATAGAAATCTTTTTGGAAGTAAAGGTGATGGTTGCTTAACATTGTGATTGTACTAAACAGTATTGAATTGCACATTTTAAATTAGTTAAAATGGTAAATTTTATAAGTTACTTGTATATTGGGGCCCATAAAATGGGGACCGCTCCTGTGCCTTGGTTTAAGTCACGTATCTAAGCCTGCACTTAAGGGAAACCCTGTCAGGGAAATCTAACATACACCCATCGCAATCCTCTAACTCAGCTTTAGCTAGCCTACTTTACCCTAGAAAATAGGACCTGCTGTGTTTATAAGGAATTCCCCTACCTCCTAGCCAATCATGCCCTGTGTTCCCCTTTGTCTTGTCAATGCTCTATAATCTCTTGCCCCAAATCCCTTGTGATTGGTGCTCCCACTGCTTGTGAGGCACTGTACTCTCCCAATCCATGCATTGTTTTCCCGAGGATAAAGGATATCAAACTCGTTTTAAATTGTTTTAGTCATTTGATGACATTATGTGCATTTTACCACAGTAAAAAACAAACAGGCACCTGGGTGGCTCAGTGGTTAAGTGACTGACTCATATTAGCTTAGGTTATGATCTCAGGGTCCTGAGATGGAGCCTCCCATTGAACTCCATGGAGCTGCTTAAGATTCTCTCTCTTGGGATCCCTGGGTGGCGCAGCGGTTTGGCACCTGCCTTTGGCCCAGGGCGCGATCCTGGAGACCCGGGATCGAATCCCACGTCGGGCTCCCGGTGCATGGAGCCTGCTTCTCCCTCTGCCTGTGTCTCTGCCTCTCTCTCTCTCTGTGACTATCATAAATAAATAAAAATTAAAAAAAAAAAAAAGATTCTCTCTCTTCCTGCTCCTCCCCTGCTGGTGCACTCTCTCCGAAACAACCCAAGCTGATTCTTTGGGGGGCGGGGGTGGGGGGGGAGACAAAAAGTGACAATTGTTAAGAGTAAATGTACAAATTCATAATCATAAATGGAGGTTTTTACACACATTAATAGAATGCAGCAAAGTAAAATATAACTATTTGAACAATAAAGTTAATTCTTAGGTAATGAGCCTGTATGGAACCTTCTACCTGCTATTCTACAAATGATCTTTTCTTTTCTTTTTTCTCTTTCTTTCTTTCTTTCTTCTTTTCTTTTCTTTTTTTTCTTTCTTTCTTTCTCAGATTTGAGAGAGAGTGGGGGGATGCGAGATGGACAGAGAGAGAGTGAGAACCCCGAGCCAACTCCCCACCCAGCCCAGTCAATAAGGGGCTCCCGCCCAGGACCCAGACATCATGACCCCACCCACAGTCAGAAGCTCAGCTGACTCGGCCACCCAGGTGCCCCTAGAATACAAGTTCTTTTTCGGGACACTAGTATATTTATAAAAACTGACGATTCAAACCTCAACAAACACCTTAGAACCAGTTCCTTCCCAGTCATACAGTCTCACTGCAAGTTAATTTGGGAGTCAATGATAACAATTTAAAAAGGAGATAAAATACAGGAAATAACGAGAAAGGGAAAAGGACAACATTCCTCTTCTCCCAAAATAACTGAGCTAGAAGTAGGAAAAATGTGTCATTCTAGTATGGGAAAAACGGGAATTTTGATTCGTGATAACTACACGTGGTTGGGGATCTGTCTGCAAACAGCAGGAGTTGGTGGGAAAAGCTGTAATCGGGCGAAGACGTACCCTCTAGTATCGATAACAGGCTATTTCCATTTCCTACGTTGGCTTTGCGTTGCTGGTCACAAGCCTCAAAGAGGTCAACTTCCTGAGTCACCTTCAGAAGCAGATGAGGTGCCTTATTTCCTGGTCGCGAACGTTTCTGTCAAGCGTCAACTATATTCAAACACCGCGTGGGGCATCCTGGCTCCAGAGCCGCGGCTGGGCCTCGGTCCCCGCGGAGCTGACGCCCGGAAGGGCACGCTCCGAGCGACCACAGCCTCCGCGCAGGCCGCTATTGAGGGGGACTGCGGCGGGCGCTGGTGCTCGGGGTACCGCCGCCCGCCGACAAAGGCCCGAGCTCCGAGCGCCTTTACAAACCGCCGACGCCTGTATCTCCCGCCCTCCGGGGCGCGGAGCTCGGCCGGCCCCCGCGGAGTCGCCGCTCGCCCGCGCGGGGGCGGCGCCCGAGGCCCCAGCGCGGCAAACCCCGGCCCCGCCTCCGACCGACTTCCCCCGCCGACGCGCGGGACGCCCCGCCGCCCACTTTGCGCGTCATCTCCTTGACGGCGCTTCGGTCGCCGCTCGTCTGGCAGGCGGCTGGGCGCGCCGTTTCCCAGCGATCCGCTGTCGATTGGCGGTGCCTGCACAGTGAGCGCGGAGCTCGATTGGAGCTGCCTGCGGGGGCGGAGTCGCTGCCGCCGCCGCCGCTGCCGCCGCCGCCGCCGCCGCCGCCGCCGCCGCCGCCGCCGCCGCCGCGGGCTTGGTTGGCGTGGAAGGGCCTAGGCCCGGGCCTGCTGTGGTGTGCTCGCCCAGCGCCTGGGGTCGCGGCCTGCAGCGCCCTCAGCTCCAGCTTCGCCCACTCCCCGACCCGGACGGGCTGGGCGCGGGGAAGGCCTGCGGGAGCCATGGAGGACGAGGTGGTCCGTATTGCCAAGAAGATGGACAAGATGGTGCAGAAGAAGAACGCGGTGAGCGCGGCAGGCGACGCGGGCCGGCAGGGAGGCCGGGCGGCTTCGGGCCGGGCCCCCGGCGGCTCCCGGGCCCCCCGCGCCGGCCCTGCCCGCGCGGGACGCCGGCGTGGGCCGCGCGGGCGCCGGGGAGGGCGTTGGTGCGCGCGGGTCTCGGTGCGGCGGGTGGCTCGTGGGCGCAGCGTAGCCGCCCGGCTCGGGGCGTGCTTACCTCGGACCTGCGGGTGGATTTACTTGCCGGTGACTTCGCTGCTTCGGCTTAGCGGTTGAAGACGGTTGAAAGAACTCACTCGCTTTTGCACGAGGGCCGGCTAACGACTAGAAATAGCATCACTTAGGGGTTTGTGGGATGTTTTAGACATCACGCCGGGAAGTTGGATTTTACGGGTCTTATGTTTCTCGAAGAGTGCTAAACGTTCACTTGTCTCCGACGACGCCGCGGGCCTGTTGGGTAGTGAAGGCGGTAGAGTGGGCTAGTGTCCTTGGCAAGCTGCTGAACGTGTTTTAAAAGGTGGGTGTTGTCAGGGGGTGCTATGCCGAGAGCCGGGACTAAAACGCACACAACCGAGATGTGCGTGCGGAGGGAGGGATGCGTTCATTCGGCCGGGTGTCTGGCTGGTTACTCCAGGTGGCTCACAGTTGACGCCTGGTGTTGTCTTGCTATTGATAGCGAGTTTGTGTGGACATATCCTCTCTGTGGTTTGTATGAGATCTTCCAGTCTCCGCATTTTTGTCCACCAGCGTTACTACTTTCAGCTCTCTCTGATCCAGTCGTCTGTTTTCGGCTGCAGCTCCATGATCGTCTTCACCTGAATTTGTTCCACGCTGCTCGGTACATTTTCAGTATCAGTGTATCTGAGATCACTTCTCCCTACCTACGAAGTGAGTTCCACCTCAAGCTAATGTGGAGGAGAGAATCGTTGCTCTGATTTCTACAGCACTTTATTATTATTACTGCATTTTTTTTTTTTTTAGCATTTTATTTATTCATGAGAGACACACAGGGAGAGGCAGAGACATAGGCAGAGGGAGAAGCAGGCTCCCTGTGAGGGGCCCGACTGGGGACTGACTCCAGGATGAGGACCTGAGCCAAAGTCAGACGCTCAACTACTGAGCCACCCAGGCGTCCCTGTACAGCACTTCACAGTCAAAAAGCATCAAAAGATTCTTTTGAGACTCACAACAAAGCTATTATGGTGTACCCATTTTGCAGAACAAGAAATTGAGCCAGAGAGGTTTAAGTAGCTCACCTGCTGAAATTAGGTACTGTACAATTTGGATTAAGCCAGGACCCAATGTTTTTAATTAATTAATTAGAGGCAGAGACACAGGCAGAGGGAGAAGCGGGCTCCTTGCGGGGAGCCTGATGCGGGACTCCATCCCAGGACCCCGGGATCACGACCTGAGCCACCCAGGCAGGCATCCCTGGACCCAGTTTTTTTTTTTTTTTACTGGGCAGCATGCCAGAGTTTAACAGAGCAAAAAATAGTGTTAAACACTGAATTCTTAAGACTTCATCCGTAGTCTGTTCCTCTTTTTTTTTAACAGGTGCATTTGCCTAGCATGTAATTTCATACTGTTAGTCTGTATTTGCAATTTTAGTCTTTTAAAGCATTTCCTGTTTGTTGTCTGTTCCAGACATTACCTTTGCCATTTATTTTTCTCATTGATAACAGCCCTTTCATTCCCCACTACAAGTGATGAAATCTGGTTATTTGATAGGCTGAAGATTTCTGTTATTTTGCTTAAATTGGAAATTTTTTTTTCTTTACCTGGAGATCCCTAGATTCCCACAATAGAAGCTCTGAGGGAAAAAGGCCTTTTGTTGGGTAATTTTTTTCTCTAATTCAGGCTATAATGTATAATCTGTTAATCATGTAATATATTAGCTGTTTGTTTCCTTTCCTTGTGTTAGATGTTTCTTAAAAACGAGTCATTCTGTAGTGGATAAGTATGGAGAAGACCAGTTTGTATTTATTTGCAGTTCTCAACGTATAAGGGAGTAGTGAGTCTGGGGAAAATGAGGATAAACTCCACAGATACTTCTCAAATCTCATTTTTCTGATAGTTCAAAACTTGACCAATATGGAAACTTGCCCCCCCCCCCAAAAAAAGATAAAAATGACTGGCTCTTTTGTTTTTTCCTTCTCCCTTTTTCTGTATATCTTACAGAAATTCAAATTGGCAAATGAAATAAAGGGAAGTGGTCTGAATGGCTCTCCCTCTTTGCTCTCCAAAGCGCATCAACCCACAAATAGCTTTTTAAGAGGTCAGTAGTTTAACAGAAGTTGTTTTGGGGGTTGTAGGATTATGATAGACTTACTTCTCTCTCTTTGTGTGTGTGTGTGTGTGTGTGTGTATGGTTTCCAGATTTTCTCAGCTTTTTAAAATATTTTTACACTATGAAAAAGTAAAGTTTGCCTGAAAAATAGTAGTTGTCCTCTTGAGTTGGCAAGTTTAAGTGCTATTATTGGATACTTTGTGTTAATAAAGTATAGATGTCACATTTAAGTAATAATAAAAACAGCTACCGTTTATTGAACTATTACTGTGAGCCAGGGATTGGGCTTAAGTACTTATTCCTAGGGCAGTTTTGCACAATTAGTAATATCCCCATTATGAAAATAAGGAAACTATTTGGAAAGTTAAGCGAATTGTCCTAAGCCAAATAGCTAGAGAGTGGCTCGATGAAGATGTGAATCTAAATCTATTTTACTCAAAGCCAGTACTACTCTCTTAAGCTGCAGTATCTCTCTAGAAGACTCTTTTTGAACCTTGCATGGGTATAATTAGGTGAATAGAAGACCAGAAAGTAAGGATATTTGCTGTTCTAGAGGAGTCAGGTTTCTCTAAATATCCAGTCAATATCCTGACCCCAGTACTAATCCAGAATGTTGTCCCCTGTGTATACTTGATCTTAAACAGTATTAGCCACTTTTAAGTGCACACTCTGAGGGCTTAATGAACCACATAAGTTAGTTCCAAATTTTCAGGTATTAGCTGTTTTTTTTTTTTTTAAATGTCATTTTAACTTTTTTTTTTTTTGAGATTTTATTTATTTATTCATGAGAGACACAGAGGTAGAGACACAGGCAGAAGAAGAAGCAGGCTTCTCACAGGGAGTCCAACATGGGACTTGATCCCAGGTCTCCAGGATTAAACCCTGGGCTGAAGGCGGTGCTAAACCACTGTGCTTACCCTGGCTGCCCCATTTTAACTTTTTTTTAATGTCATTTTGACTTGATGTCAGTAAGCAAGTCTGACTCCTAACGTGGATTGAAATCTTGCCTCTTCTGAACTTTAGCAGTGTGCTCTTAGGCAAATTCCTTAACATCTGTAGAATGTTTTGTTGTTTTTTGGTTTCTTTGGTGGTAAATTGAGATAATTTAATAAAGATTAGATGAATTAAAAATCTTGGCAGTCCTTAAGAATATGGCAAAGGTTAAAAAACCTTTTGTATTGTTTTGTAAAGGATTTATGACATGACTCTAGGAGAAGGAGTGAGGTAACTTAGAATTTTCAAATTCATAGATTTTGTGAGTGGTGTTGAGCTTTGTTTATTATTATTATTATTTTAAGATTTTACTTATTTATTCATGAGGGACACACAGAGAGAGAGAGAGAGAGAGAGAGAGAGAGAGAGAGAGCGCCAGAGATACAGGCAGGGAGCCTGACGTAGGACTCGATCCCAGGACTCCAGGATCACGCCCTGGGCTGAAGGTGGCACTAAACTGCTGAGCCACCTGGGCTGCCCTGATACCTGGATTGTAGGAAAAAAACTTTGGTTTTCATATCAGGGTTAGATTGATTAGTATAAATTGAAATTTAGAATGACTACACAATTTTTTATAACCACCTTATTGAATTGCATAATAACGTTCTCTTTTTAAAAATATACAATTCAGTGGTTTTTAGTATATTCACCGATTTGTGCAGCTATCACCATGCTAGCTAATATAAGAGCAATTTTTTTAAAGCTTTTAAGCGTGCCCCCCCTTCCCCCCATGAGTGGAGTGGGGAGGAGCAGAGGGAGAAGCAGCCCCCTTACCTAGCAGGGAGCTGGATGCGATTCAGGCTCAATCCCAGGACCCTGAGATCATGACCTGAGCTGAAGGCAGATGCTTAACTGACTGAGCCACCCAAGCACCCCAAAAGCACTTTCATCACTCCAAAAAAGAAACCTGTACTCATTAAGTAGTCACCACCATATATCTGCACCCCCCCTCAACTGCTGATCTTTTTCTGTCTCTGTTTGGATTTGCTATTTTGGATATTTGAATAAATAGGATTATACAGCATGTGTTTGTTTAAGTGGAATCCTACAATATGTGGTCTTTTGGGAGGGGCCTCTTTTACGTAATGTTTTCAGGATTCATCTATGTTATAGTAGTTATCAGTACTTCATTCCTTTGTATTACTAGGTAGCACTAATGTACTAGTGGATATACCACATCTTGTTTATTCATCATTTTTTAAAAAATAATTTATTTATTCATGAGAAACACACACACACACAGAGGCAGAGATACAGGCAGAGGCCGAAGCAGGCTCCGTGCAGGGAGCTGATGTGGGACTCCATCCCGGGTCTCCAGGGTCACGCCCCCGGCCAAAGGTGGCGCTAAACCGCTGAGCAACCCGGGCTGCCCTGTTTATTCATCATTTGATGGACATTTTGGGCTATTTCTACTTTTTGGTTATTATGCATAATACTGCTAAGAATCTTCTTGTGCAGGTATTTGTATGGACATATGGTTTTGTTTTGTGTTTTTTTTTTTTCTCTTGGATATGTACCTAGGAGTAGAATTGCTAGATCATATGATAACTATGTTTAACTTCTTGAGTAACTGCCAAACTGTTTTCCAAACCTGCTGTACCATTTTAATTCTTACCAGCAATGGGTTGAGGGTTCCAGTTTAACCACGTCTTCATCAACACTTGTTATGTCTTTTTTTATTATAGCCATCACAGTGGATATGAAGAGGTATCTCATTGTGGTTTTG